GAAAGTTGGCATCCATCCCCGCACGCTCGCCGCCCCCACTATGGGGTGGTGGGGTAATCCGGGGGTTTGGGCTCACCATGTTTTAAAGTTGTCAAGGTTGAGAAACACTGCTTTAGGGACTAGATTTGACTTTTTCCTTCAAGAATGACCTAATTATCACCTCTTTCTAACAGACTGAGACTATTTCTCTCAAAGAAAATGTATCCATGCATCCATTCCCAGTTTTATCTGACAACATGAGCAAAAAAGGCAATAGCTGAGCAATTGGGCAATAGCTTAATAAAAGTATCCAAGTATGTTGTCCTCATCCTTGGGTATCCATGTCTAAAGCCTCATCTAATAAAATCATGTCTCTACCAATCACACTACCTTGGTTGCAGAGCATGGACTGAAACAGATTTAAGAAACAATATCTTTAAAAAATTGGAAAAGTTGTCACAGTGCTACTGAGATATTTTCACCAATTTCCCCTCGCAGCCAGAATATACAGGCCAATATTTATTTTCGACATTTGCTTTTTTCTTTCCCTGAATATAAATTCTTAAACATTAATTAAAGTTATATACATTTACTTTTAGGATAAGACCTGCTCTGAATCTCCTCCTTTTACATTAATACAGCAACAGGAATCCACACTAATATTAATAATATTATTATATTCTCTTGACTTTTTAATTAATGAAATTTGTTAAGGCAGTTTAAAGTTTGCTACATGGAAAATATCAAACTCCAGAAATACAGTATGTCCTATACATGACTGAAATCTCCGCAATGCTTGGGGAGGTATGAAATTAATAAATCCTAAGAATTTAAAATGTGATTTCAATGCATTATACCAAAAACCAGAAGCTCTATTTAAAAAAAAATTCCAAGGCATTATTTGAAAAGTTCCACTCCTATGTTTTAAAATTTGGGGAAAACCAATATGATGATTTACGATTCATAACTTAAAAGTTTAGGTCTTACGAGTCAGTAAAACATGCCTGCTGGATTTTTGTTGTTGATCTCTGTGTATGCTGAGAGACAGGACAGACAAGGAGGTGAGAGGCTCAAAACCAGACTAACAAGGCAATCTGAAATGCTATCTGAGAGCTCTCCAGTGTCAAAGGCTTTGACATTATTAAAGCAGAGGCTGGAAGTAAAGTGCAGAGGCTTTTACATTTCTCCATCCCCTCCTGACAGGCTTGAAAAATAAATCCATAGGGAACAAGGAGAGGAAGTTCGCTTAGATAAAGGCAGGGGCTTTCATAAACTTGTCCTATGTTTCACAGCCCAGCTCTCGGCACCAGAGCCCCTCTGCCAGGCCCAACCTTTTCTCCTCTTCCTGATGTTGAAGTTCTGAGGGTCAGGAAAACTAACTTCAGAAGTTGGTGGAAGACCCAGTTTTCCCCCTCCAAGGTGAGAACTGTTCCTCAATTGTTCTCAGGAAGAGAAACTGCCCTCTCCCAGGTCCCCTGAATACTGGAGCACAGGCCATAGGTCTGCAAACTAAACAGAGGACTCTCTTATCTCTGGAAAGTCACAGAACAAAACCCTGTTTATGGATTCTGAAGTTTTCTGGATGATCTTATTAACAATATCAAACAGTCCCATATTAGAAGTGTCTATTCTTCCACCCTATTTGATTCCCACCCTCCTTGGAAATTACCTGCTCTCCTAGAGAATTGACCATAAGACATTTGCCCACTTCTCCCATGGAAAAGGTTAATTTGTGGAAGTATAGAATTTGGTCCCTTTTCCTGATTTGTTTTTTCTCTGTAGGGCCATACAAATCTTTGGGTGAGTGTCATCCAGTGTTTTTCAACCTTGACCACTTTAAGATGTGTGGATCTCAGCTCCCAGAATTCTGCAAGTTGAAGTCCACACAACCTAAAGTTGCCAAGGTTGAAAAACACTGGTGTAATCCAATGGTAAGAGATTGAAATTCCCAGTTTGAAATCCACCACTGCTAGGATTAAATGGCTAAAAGGAAAGAAGAAAAACCTATCCTCTGCCAGTCATTTGAAATGGAAGCACAACTAACCTATGTAGCAAGCTTAATGTAAGGATTGTAAGGTACCAACAACGATCGAGCAATTATCCAAACTAGACTGCAATTCACAGTTTGATTCTGGGTTCTGAAGCTCAAATTATAATTTGTCAGTTTGGATATAACAGTATATTACACTGATTTTAAAAGGCAGAAATGAATTATGCCCCATGTGTGATGAGAAGAAAGGCCAGTGTGAACAACACACTTGTTCACTATCCACCATACTATAATTCAAAGTAAAGGGTTCATCCACTATATAAAGTACTTTGAATTCTCTAAAGATTATAGATGTTAGTAAACAGATTCTGACTAGTCATCAAAACAGCCAAATGCTTGAACATCTAGATATGTAAAATGTACATTATTACAAAGAGGTGCATCTTAATGTTAGAATAAACAAAAATTTTCATTGAATTACCTGTTCGCATATTATTCTGACCACAATTTGTAATGCTTGGATGCAGGCTATTCTTCGAAAATTGCCCTGAAGACAAAAACATCTTGTTTTAATCCAAATGTCTGCTACCTGATTAACAGCTACTTGGGTTAAACATCAAAACTGAATGCATTACCTTACTCACTATAGATAACAAATACCGTTAATGCTCTACGTAAACTCAATTAATTTTAAATATAATGGGAAACCTTCCTTGCATTTGACAAAACTCTGTTGCCTTTATAACTCAATGGTACTAATTTGGAAAAAAAAAAATCTGACATGTTCAGTGTTACTTTGTTCCACAGAATCATTAGATTCCTGGAAATCTCCCAAGGAGTAAATGAACATGCTCAAACAGTGCAGGGATCCTTCAGATGATCTGCTGAATTAAATTCACTGAGTTGATTCAGAGGTAACCCTATACCTCAGCTGCTTTATAGTAACCCTCTTCTGGGAACTGAACCTTTGGGGTTCAGCATATCCTGATGATGTCAAGTCAACATTAGATCACTCAATTCCAGTGTTGTCATTTCACGGTTTTTGAGATAATACTTTTTTTTTTTTTGAAATCAGAATCGCAGCATCGATCTTTGCCTTAATACAGGCAAAACATTACTGTATTAAGCCTTTAAAGAAGTACATTGCCTTTAATTAACTACTTCTATTTGCAATTAAATCCCATTTTGTTGCTTTCTAATAAACGGAGTAAAGAAGACCCTGTTAACTGACTCAATTATCTTAATATCAATTTCTGAATCTGTATAGAGAAGGTTAATGACTATTTTCCTCTTGGTATTAGCATTTTCTTTTGCTAAACAGAAAAAATAGCTATAAGAATTAAGAGAGGAAATCATGACTATATTTTAAGTAGAACAAAGGAACTCAGGAGCCTGAGGCCCTTCAGCTTCCCCCAATTTTATGGCTAGCAGAGCAACGCTCAGCTGAAATAGGGGGTGGACATGATCGTGGAGAGCTGGTGCGCGACAATGCTGCCTTATCTGACATCTGCCCAGCTGGGGATAGGATCCTTCAGCAGGACATGGGGTGGCTGAGTGGCTTTTATTGTGAGGGACGCCTGAGTGTCTGCATATTAGACTGGACTTTAGAGACAAGCTAGAGTGGGACACCAGCCACTCTTTCCAGCCTGCTGGAGCTGGTCTCCAGGCTGATGGTGGAAGCTGTGAGGGTCTGCAAGGGAGAGTCCAAGACGGAGCTGCTGTTTCTACATTAGGTTTCTCTTTGGGTGCCAGTGTTATCCCCGGACAGACGGGCACTCCCTGTCCAGGAGCAGGTTCATGATTGGGGGTCCTTCTGGACTCGTGGCTCTTGCTTGAACAGCCAGCAGCTGGGGGCCACGGCTGGGAGAGACTTTGTCCAGCTTTGGCTGGTGCACCAATTTCACCCTTACCTGATGCGGGAGGACCTTGGGGCCATAACTCATGCTCTCATCACTACCTGCATGGACTACTGCAATGCGCTTTCCATGGGGCTGCCTTTAAAGACCACCTGGAAATTACAGTTAGTTCAGAATTGGGCGGCCTGTGTTTTAATTGGCTCCTGATATTGGGAGTATACCACACTTCTACTCCAGGCCCCGCACTGGTTCCGGGTTCAGTTCTCGGTAAAATTTAAAGTATTGGTGTTACCTACAAAGTCTTTCATGGCTTGGCACCCACCTGTGTCTCCTCTGCCCAGATTCATCCCAGCCAGCGAGATCATGCAGGGTGGGGCTCCATGTTGTCCCACATTTCTGGGGAGCTGATACTGGAAGATGCTACTTCTCTGTAACAGCGCAAACACTTTGAAATGGGAGGGGGCCCACTGAGATCAGTCTGGCCCCCTCCCTTAAAACAGAACTTTTTCAAAGGATCTTTCAGTAAAACCCTTTCTACTATTTTTCTCTTCTACTTTGCTTTTACACTTTGGATCAGTGTTTCTTAACCTTGGCAGCTTGAAGTCCACACATTGTCAAGCTGCCAAGGTTGAAAAACACTGGTTTGGACTGTATTTTGTTTTGTTACTTTTATTGCGACCTTGTAACCACTGAGAGTCACAGGATTGCATTGGGATTAAAAAGAAATAAATAAAATAGCTTATGAATGGGCTCCCAAACCCTAAAACAATGAACGGATTTGTATGAATACCTCCTCCCCCACCACACCAGTATAAAACAAATTATTTTATTGATGTTAAGGCTGAGCAAGAAATAAAGGTGCCCCTTTTAATAATTAAATGCATATAGGTTACCTTAACTATCAACCTATTTATCGCCGGAGTTCCCAAACTTTACGGTATCATAAATACTGAACAGCGTTTGCATACTCAAAACAAAGGACAAAACCTGGGGCCAATTTGGACAATGCTCCTGCTCTGCCTGTCCACAGGTAACCAGTTTTTATTTTTCTTGAATCACATCTGTATAGCTGCCCTTCTCACATAGTGACTCTGAGTGGCCTACATAATAAGACTCAAAATATTTAAAAACCATTGAAACCACCCATTTAAATTAAAAATAAAAACAAGTAAAAAAGTGGCAGCAAAGCATACAGAGCGCGCATTCCGTTAACTGTCATACAACCATCTAGCAGGCTCCCCTCTATGGTGGGATTCCGAAGCTGGTTGACAGAACCATCCATGTCTGAAGGTCCTTCCAGAAGGCCAACAGAGCTGTGGCCAACTTCACCTCAGGTTCCACAGGGTGGGGGCCATGGCAGAAAAGGCCTTCTTCCTAGGTCCCGCCCGATGAAACTCCCTGGCTGACAGGACCTGCAACGTGCTGGACCTGATGGGATGAGTAGATGTAACTGGGGAGAGGGTCCCTCAGATATCCCGGTCCCACGCCACGTAGGGCTTTAAAGGTTATAACCAGCACTTTGAATTGGACCCAGAAGCAAACTGGCAACCAGTGCAACTCACACAGCAGAGGTGTAATGTGCAGATCCTGGAGCACCCATAACTGCCTGCGCCACTGCATTTTGCACTAGCTGAAGCTTTCAGATACTCTTCAAGGGCAGCCCCACATAGACCGTGTTACAGTAGTCTGTTCAGGAGGAGACTAGGGCATGAGTGACTGAGAGTGGAGACTCCCTATCCAGTTTAATTGTACTGTTCATAGTTATTGTAAAATTTTTAGGAAAAAAAAATAAAAATCATCATTTATCCAAACTTTTTATTTTCTTTGGTTTTCAAGAGTTGAAATTATACATTTATTTTAATATTTTACATGTTCTATTTTTTTCAGAGGTTTAAGTAGCACCACTGTACACATTCTTTTTTAAAACAAATACAAGCATGCAGGGACTACTCATAATTTAATAGGGGACCTGAAAGTCTTGCTGATTTCAAGAGACCATTGGTATAAATAACGCTGGTATACACATCTTGAAGGACTCTTTAAAGAAATGCGACTTGACCTTTGCAAGACACAACTGCAGGTAGGGTACACCAGCTCTTGGCTATTTTTAGTACTCATCCTGCAGGTCAACTCCTGGTTAAATCAATCTCAATTCAGCAGCGTCCCTCAGGAAACTCATTGTGTAGCTTCACCTAGCCCTGAAAGACCTTTGCAGGCGCACTTGCTTTAGTAAACACCAGGCATAGTTTTCTCATAGCAGTTACTCAGAGAGTATGTGAACGTTAGGAAACTGTAATTTCTGAAACCCAGTTAAAGAATTTATATCGTATGGGAAAATTTCACAGATACTGCAGTACACAATGCAAAATCCCCAGGAAAGACCCACTAGGGCAGTGTTTCTCAACCTTGGCAACTTTAAGCTGTGTGGACTTCAACTCCCAGAATTCCCCAGCCAGCCATGGCTCTGTTCACTCTCCAGAGTAAACATCATAGACTTTAAGGGACTTACTTCTAAGTAGGCATGCATAAGATATGATTTCATTTTATTTTTGTTGCTTTAATCATATTGTGGGTACTTTAGCACTGAAGATGTTACCTAGCCAGGTAATGAAACGTTTGCAAGAAAAGAACCAAG